GCTGACTCCACGCCTGCACCTCCTGTATGCCAAGGCTTCCCTCACTCACGGGGCTGGATTAGGCACATTGTTCAGCGGTTAGGGTGGGTTTGGTTTTTAATGTCCATCGTCCAGCTGGCCATGGGATGCCCCTTCCCCAGTTCCAGGCCTCAGCAGCAGAGTCAGTGTCACACACCAGCTTAGAGTGACCCCAAAGCTTCCCATCCCTGTCCTGGGGCTCGGGCCCAGCCAGGGCAGCACAGACAGTGCCTGTGCCATGACATTCCCACAAACCCTCCGTGCTTGGATGCTGAAGTGCAGCCCAGCCCAGGGAGGGGAGGACATCCCACGAGCAGCTTTGGTGTCCATGTCCCCCATTCCCATTCCCTTCACTCCAGCTGCTGCACTCACTGGCACACGTGTGGGAGGTGGGACATTGAGGGGCTGGAGCAGAAGCTGGGGGCACCAACAGCCCCCCAGTTTTGGGGTGCTCCAGGTGTTTGGCCCATGGAAATGTGCAGGGATGGGCACAGGAGAGGTCCCTGCCTGGCACCAAAGTGCTGCCCATCCCTGCCCCGCGCTCCCTTCCTCCCTCAGCCCTCCCATGGGGTTTTTAAAGGTTTGGTGAAGGTTGGAGGGTTGATACAAACGGATTTTAAACCTTTTTCAATTTTCTAGGGGAAGAATCTAGTCTTTTAGGGGTTGTAAAATACGGGTGGTCTCAGAAATGAGGTATTTTTAGTATTTCTGTGGTCGGAGAGCCAGCAGCCCAAAGCTTTTTTAATGGATTTTATTATTCCTTCTACTGGCATTGCCTTTCCTGCTTTTATCCTGGGTGTGGGTGTAACCCCTGCTGAGACAGGTCACAGGACACGAGCCCCTTGCTGCTCACCTGGACGAGTCCTGGCTTGATCCCATGGTGAGGCTCCTGGTCCCATGGTGTGGCTCCTGGCTGGCAGGTTTCCAGAGGGTGCCAGAGGCAGGTCCTTTGGGTGGACAGTTTGGGAAGGCTCTGGAGCAGTAGGAAATGGATGAAGCTGAAAGAAAGACTGATGTGGTGGCTCAGCTCCGCTCAGCTCAGCTCAGCCTTGCAAGATTCCAAGAAGAGTTTCTCTGGAAGTGCCCTTGCTTTGCTGGTCATCCTGCTTTGCTTTCCTTTTCCCACCCTGATCATCCTCTCCAGCCCTTAGAGGACATTTGGAAATGAGGAGAACAGGACAGCTGGGGAGGGACAGAGGGGCTGGAGCCCACTGCACACACATCCCCATCCCGGGGGTGTCGGCACATCAGCGCGTGCCCAGGGCTGTTGTCACCCCACCAGCCCCATCCCATGGAAAATGCACCTGACAGGGGTTTCACACAACTGAGATTCCCACTCTGAGGGGGAATAAAATGTCACAGCTCTCTCCCTGCGGGTGAACACACCAAAATCCTGGGGGGAATTGCATCACCCATCCCTTGTGTCCCTGGGTGCAAGTTCACTGTGCTTTTGTGTCTTGGTGGGGATGGCTCTGAGGTGCCAGCCCTGGGCTCCAGAGCTGGTGGCAGAGGGCTCGGGGTGGGTTGGAGGAGCAGGAGACCCATCTCCTTCCTCCCAAGCCCCCTCCCTGCCCATCCCATGTCCCAGGAGTGGCCGGGAAGGGAGAGGCAGCCGCGGGCAGGTCCCGGAGCTGTAAATTGCTGTCATGAACCTGTTTGCCAAAGAATGAAGGGGGGTGACGTGCACGGGAGGTGCTGAAAAGTGCCAGGGGAGATTTACATGTCACAGGTGGGACACAGCCTGCCCCTCCCACTGGGAACATCCGGGATGGGGTGGATCACTGGGGTGGGACATGGGGACACTGATGGACCATCCCTGCTGGGGGCTGTGTGGAGGAGCCCCCTCCCCAGCACCCATCAGCCTTCGTGTGCTGCACTTATACCCAACACCACGGAGACCAGAGATAAATAGGTGTTTTCCTTACCCTGCAGAGAGTGTTTTCCAGGTGCCCTTCCCGGCATCCCGTCCTGCTCCGTCCTCTCTGCCGGCACTGCCACGGGGCGTTGGCTGCGAATCCCCCAGTGCTGGGGTGTGTGTTGTGATGTTCTGTGCACTTGGCAGTACCCGTGTTGTTGCCTCTCACTGTATTAAACGTGTCTCTGCCCTTCGCCCCCTGTCTCTCAATCCAACGCGGCTCCGGGGGCTTCCAGGAATGAGCCCGGACCGGCCCGACGGGACCGGCCCCGGGGCTCCAGCCCGGCCAGCCTGCTGTGTGAGCACCGCACCGCGGGGTCCATCCTCCCCCTGCTGGAATTCCCGGCCAAAACCACCGGGATGAGCGACCCCAGAGCCCTCCCGGGTTTAGGAACAGAGGTGACCGAGGATGGTGGAGGCAGCTGGGGCAGATGTCGGTGCCACATCCTGTCCCCTGCCCGTCCCTGCCAGCTGGGATTGCCCCAGGCAGAGGAGAAAAGCTCCTATTTTGGGAACATTGTGTCTTTCCCTGGCAAGGAGGTGGGGAGCAGCCCTGGGGCTGACAGGGTTTAGGGGGTGCACAGGGAAAGCTGCTGTCACTCCTGATGATTGGATGCTCCCAGGGCTGGAGCCCCTCTGCTCTGGAGCCAGGCTGGGAGAGCTGGGGGTGTTCACCTGGAGAAGAGAAGGCTCCAGGGAGACCTGAGAACCCATTCTAGTGCCTAAAGGGGCTCCAGGAGAGCTGGAGAGGGACTTGGGACAAGGGATGGAGGGACGAAGTGAGGGGGAATGGCTTCACACTGCCAGAGGGCAGGGATAGATGGGATATTGGGAAGGAATTCTTCCCTGAGAGGGTGGGGAGGCCCTGGCACAGGTTGCCCAGAGAAGCTGTGGCTGCCCCATCCCTGCAAGTGTCCAAGGGCAGGTTGGACAGGGCTTGGAGCAACCTGGGCCAGTGGAAGGTGTCCCTGCCCATGGCAGGGGGTGGGACTGGATGGGCTTAATGTACCTTCTAACCCAAATCATTCCAGGACTCTGTCAATGCTCCTCACTCATCCTGCAGTCAGAGCCCACACCTGACCCGCTGAGGTCCCAAGGAAGGGACTTGGGCAGATGTTCTTTGGCACGTTCAAGTTTGGGGTGGATCCTCCTGTGTCAGCTCCTGAGGGTGTTTCAGGGTCAGTTTTAAGCTCTGTGGGGACACAGTGGACTTGGTGACCTGCAAAGGGGCTCCAGTGTGTCCCTGCCCTCCTGCTCCAGCCACCCCTGCCCAGCCAGCCCGGGGCAGGGGCCGTGTCCCACCAGCATCCTCATAGCAAACAAGTTTCTGTAATTTTACCACTGCAACAGGAGCTATTTTTACAGTAAATCCTTCCAAAATAGAAACCAGCAACACCCGCGGGCGGCGGCCGAGCCCCGGGGCTGCAGGACCGGTTGGGGGACGGGGCTGGGGACAGGACACAACTGGGAGCACTGGGGGAGGGGGGGAGTGTGGCAACCCCCCTTGGCACTGTGCCAGCAGCTCCAGGGACCCTCGGAGAAGTCTGGGAGCCCCAAATCTCTCTGAGAAGGGGGTGCAGCCTTGCTGCCAGCCCAGCCACCCACTCCAGCTACTCTGGCCCTTCCCTTTTCCCGGGATAAACGCTCAGATAACGTTTGTGCTCACGGCATCAGGCTCCTCCAGGCTGTCATCCCACACCCTCAGCAAGGATTTGTTTCCTTTCTTTTTGGTCTCCTTCATGGCACGTGCTGGATGGCATTTCGGAGCATGATCAGGGAGAAAGCTGTAAAAGAGGGAATGGGATTATCCATGGTTGATGGAAAAAGGATGGATGGGAGGGAAGCAGCTCCCAGAGGGTGCTGAGCCCATCACTGAGAACTCGTCTGTTCTGCACCTCAGTTACCCTGTAAAATAAACCCCTGAACAGCTCAAAAGGTTTCCCACTCCCTGGGAGCACCTTTATCTCCCTCAGGAGCACAGAAATCACCAGCATGGAGGATTTAACTCCCTCTGGATTCATTTTGGCTTCAGCTGAACCAGAAGTTCAAAGTTTCCTTTACGGGGGGGGGGGAAAGAAAAAAAAGGAAACAAAACCAATACCAGGGAGAAGGGAAGGAGCCTGACAAAACACTGTTGAGAAACTGCCCCGTCACACCCCTGTCGGGAGCAACATCCCCACCCCGCACAGATAAGTGCAGAGCGCTGCCGGCGCTGCCCATCCCCGGCCCCGCGGGGGGAGAGGACCTGCCCGGCTGAGACCTCGCCACGGAGCCAGATCCCCCCGGACGGAGAGGAGGAGAACGGCTCGGCACGGCCACGGTGGGATTTGGGGAACAAAATGAGCCTCAGGGGAAAAATTCCTTGCATTGATCTTGCATTGAGTTCGAACGGAGATAACTGTGGGCAGCACTGGGCTCAGCGGGGGGATTTTGGGAGCAGGGATGGATTTTCCATCGGGGGTGATCCAGGTTAGAGGTGTGGAGGGGGGAACAGCGGGAGGGAAACACCTGCTAGGGCTCCTCCCCTGGGCTACACCGGATTTCTCCCAGTCCCATGTGGATGTGGGGGATGGAGGGGGACCCCGTCCCTGCAGGGCACAGGCAGGAGCAGGGCACTGGGTGTCAGGGAAGACAAGTTATTGTGGAGTTTCTTTTAATGATGGGTGGAGAATTAAATCCTGTTTTTCGTTATATAGGAATTTAAATCTCTCCCTTGGCTGTGGGGGGGTCTGTGCAGGCAGCACAGGGCATGGGTGGGGACGCTGACCTGCCCTGATCCCACAGCTCCAACCTCAGCTCTGGGTGAGGGAATCGGCTGCAGGACCCCCAACACCTTCTAAGAACCCCAGGGGTGGGACACGGCTCCAGCCTCAGTGTTGGGTGAGAGAATCAGCTGCAGGATTCCCGGTACCATCCCCAGGCACTGACCCTGAGTGTGGGACAAGGCTCCAGCCCCACTGCTGGGTGAGAGAATTGGCTGCAGGACCCCCAGCACCCTCCAACAACCCCGAGTGTCGGACACGACCCTTCGGACTCGCGCCAAGGGCGGAGCCCCAGCACCAGCACCATGGTGTGGGCAGCCCCAGCCCCGGCTGCCATCGCCCTCTGCCTCCGTGAGTGACATCTTGTGCCCCTAAAGCTGCTTTGGGACCCCCATCCACCCCCAATGCCAGGGATGCTCCAGCCTGTGCTGCTCCTCATCCCCATCCTGCTCGACTTTGGTACTCCCTGCCCCCTGTCTCCTTCTCCCCTCAGCATCCACAGGCAGTGGGAGATTTTTCCCAAGGACAGGGACAGATTTCCAGGGACAGATTTCTCCCTTTTTGCCTTCCAAACCCAGCCAGAGGGACCCCGGGGTGCCTGGGCTGGGGGCTGCTCTCTGCAAAGAGGTTTAAGTGAACATCATTAAATTGTCAAAGAAAAGGCTCTTCCCAGGCTTTAAACCTGGACCAGCTGTGGAACATCCCCTGACCACCTGTACATACATCCATGGATGGTTCCTAACCTGCTCCTGCTTCCTTGCAGGTGTCTCCACAAACCTGGTGAAAGCTGCAGTGGTGAGTCTCCCCCGGCTCCGCTGGCTCCCAATGCTCCAGGGCCTTCCCAAACTTCTCAGCTGGTGCCGGAGGTGCCGGAGCTGCCATGGTTCCTCCATCCCTCAGCTGCAGGGAGGCACTGCTGTCACCTGCCTGCTGTCCCCCTGGGCAGCCCATGGCCTGTCCCTGTCCCATCCCATCCCTCACTCACCCACTGCCCAGCAGCTTCCCTGCCCTGCTCCCAAACCAAGGGCTGGCACCCTGATGGGCTCCCCCCCCCGCCCCTGGCTCTGGGGAAACAGGGACAGACCCACTGAAGGGTCCCCACTCCTGAGAGTGGCTGTGGTGGCTTTTGTCCCCACATGCCACCAGGGCAGCCTTCAGCCAGGTCAGATCTCATTCCCTGCATCTAAAATCACTTCTTCCCACTCTTTGCCTGGGCTGAACATCTCTCATCCTGTCCCCAGGCTGCCCTGGTCATTGGAGCTGTCCTGTCCACTGCAGAGCAGCACCCTGGGTAAGCACAGCCCCGGCTGGGGCTCTGGGTTTTGGGGGGTCTGGGCAGTGTGTTTGATTGCTCCCACATCCACGCCTGGCTGCTGTGACGGGTCCCTGGGCTGGGGAGGATTTACAGCCTCGCGCAGCCGGTCCCGTGCCTGTGCCCGGGCAGGGATTCCGGTTGCTTTGGCTCCTCCTGGAGCACAAACACACCAAGAATTCCCTTTCCTTTATGGGGCTGACTCAGGTACAGCGGGAGCTTCCCCCGAGCAGCTTCATCTCATCCCAGGCTGAAGCGGAGCACGGACCGTGAGTGTTGCCCAGTCCAGACCAGCTCAGAGCTCTTGGGCAGAGGAAAAATGCCCCTGTGCTGGTGGGCATCTGGGTACTGCCAGGAGTGGGGAGGCACAGGACCAGGCAGAAAGCTGTGGGATTCCCATAAAGTAACTGGGGAGGTGGGGAAAGGACCTTACAGAACACTGGGGGGGGTTGCTCTTACCTGGGAGCAGGAGTATGGCAGCAGCAGCTGGGAAGCAGTGGGACAGGGTGGGATATTCCCCAGGCAGGGTCAGCACCATGTGGAGGACGCTACAAGATCAGAGGATGCTCATGTAGGTGATCTGGAGAGTTTGTAGTTGCCTTTAACAGGGCAAAGTGCAAGTGGGCTGCAAAAACATCCCCATGAACTTTAAGGAATGAAAGCAAATCAGGCTTCATGGGCTGGGGATCCAGGGGATGGGAGGAGGATCCACAGTGGCTCGAACCACATTATTGCGATTCCCTGTTCATTCACCAGGGCTCTTCCAAGGGGCTCTGAGCCCCGAGGCAGGACCAGGGCCAGGTGGGAAGGGGGACACACCATCTGCCTGACACAACTCCTCACCCACAGGCTGCCTGTCCGAGCCCATCACTGCCACCACCATTGCCATGAACCCCCTGTTATTCCTGGATTACAGCCCTGAGGAGTTCAATCTGTGCCTGAGCAACGATGTCTTAATTGAAAACCTGGAGGCTCTGCTGGACATACCATTCACCGTGGAGTACTACAAGGTCATGAAAGAAAAGGTGGACCAGGTAAGGGGTGACACAGGGCAGGAGATCCCAGCAGCCCCTCAGCAGGATGGGCACAGCCCGAGATGGGCAGGACCTGCTGCAGGAACGGGTATCAATGGATGTGGGGGTGAAGTCGCCCGAGTGAGTCCTCTGCACCCATTCCCACCCTATTTTCCCTTCCCTCACCCTGGTTTCTGCCCCCCTGGCCTGGCCCCACAGACTTACCCGTCGGGGATCCCGGAGGAGCAGCTGAGGCGCCTGGGACTGCTGGCCCGCCAGTACTCGGAGGAGGAGATCAGTCAGTGGTCAGTGACATCCAGTGACACACTGGCAGCCCTGCTTGACCCCTCAGGAGGGGAGTGGGATGATTCCCAGGTAAATCCATGGCAGCAGTGGGGGATGAATGCTGGGGAACCCAAACTGACCCAGCCCATGCCCCAGCCTGGCTTAGGGCGAAGGTGTGTTTGGCAGCACACCTTTAACAGGAGCATCTTCCTGCCCCCCCTGTGTCCCACCACGTGCCCTGTGCTCCGCAGGTGCAGCAGCTGCTCAGCAGGTACCTGACCCTGGGGGGCACCTTGACCGGGCCCCTGCTCCAGGCCATCGGGGGCAGCCGCCTGTGCAACCTGCGGGAGGTGCAGATGGAGCAAATCCCCGCCCAAGCAATCGGGTGAGGCTCTTCTGAGGGGCGCTGGGTAGTCCTGCGAGTCCCCTGGGACCGTGGGGAAGGGGGTGCTGGGATGGAAACCCCCCAGTTCTGCTTTGGTTGGCTCTGCCCACTCCCAGGCAGCAGGGTGGGATCACTGCTCCCACTCCCAGCTCCTGCTGGAGCCCCAGCACCGTGAGTGGGGAAGCCCCACACAGCTCCCCCAGCCAACAGAACACTTGGGCTGTGGGTTGGGGTGCTGCCCCTCTCTGAGCTGTGACCCTCCCTTCTAGGACTGCTGGGCAGTTAAACATTTCTGCCTGCTCCCAAGCCAAGAAGGAGCTGCTCTACAGGAAGGCTCGGGAGGCCTTTGCTGGCCTGGCCGACACCCCCAGCGCGTATTACTGCCGGCTCCGGCCATACCTGGGTAGGTGCTTCCACCTTCCCCCTCACTCCCACCACAAGGCCCGCTGTCTCTTCCTCATCCAGGGAGGTTTGGCCATGCTAGGACAGGTCTGGCAGCCTCCAAAGGCTCCCCAGAGGAGTTGGGATGGTTTGTACACATCCAGGTGCCCCATGTGCTCTCTTTAAGGTGGAGCTCCAGCAGATGACCTGAAAGACTTGGCCAATGCTGGCGTGGCCATAGACATGGATATGGACACCTTCCTCTCCCTAAATCCCGAGGAACTGCAGGTACAGCCCCTGCCCCTCTCCCCTCTGCAGGGCAGGGCTGCCCCAGGGCTGAGCAGGGGGTCTGAGGCCTGAATCCCATCAAATCACCAATTCTCCACTTTTTTACCTGTGTAAAGTTTCCTTTGGAAGTTTTTCCTTGCTCTGCAGCCCCACTAGAAAAGCATTTCGGGGTGATGCCAGCGGTGAGGATGAACAAAGGGGGTGTTGTGTGTGTGTGTGTGTTGCAGAAACTCAGTGTCATGGACGTGAAAAACTTGCTTGGGAAAAACCTCCCTGAGCTGAAGAAAGCTGAGAACGAGCCCTTGGTGATGGGCTGGGTGGAAAGACAGTTCCAGAGGGAGCTGGACCGTGTCCTGGGAATCGGCCTGCAGGGAGGGATGGAGGACCCCACGGGGACAACCACCCCTGCTGCCCCCACCACAGCCAGTGTCACCTCCACAGCCTCCAGCCCTGTGCCCACCACCCTCCCAACTGTCCCCACCCGTCCTTGCCCCACCACCCCAGACATTGTCACCCCCACAGCCACTGTCCCCACCCCTCCTTACTCCACTACCCCAGCCAGTGTCACCTCCAGAGCCACTGTCTCCACTTCCATCACCCTCCCCACTGTCTCCACCCCTCCTCATCCCACCACTCCAGCCAGTGCCACCTCCACTGGCTCTGGCCCTGTGCCCACCACCCTCCCCACTGTCCCCACCCCTGTTGCCACTACCACCCCCCTGACCACCCAGTCAAGTACAGTCCCCCTCCAGACCCCCACTCCGAGTGCTCTCAGCCCAACCCCCCTAAACAACAGTCCCCCCTCCACTGAGAGTCCCCCTACCACCCCCACTGCCACCTCCACTGCCACCCCCACTGCCCATCCCACTCTGACCACCACCTCCATCGCCCCCCCCTGCTCCACCCACCAGTTTCCCACCACAAATAAGGCCACTCCATCCCCTGTCCCCCTCCTCCCCACCACCCTGGCCCCTGTCAACCCCAACACCACCTCTCCCAGTTCCGTCCCAGTCCCTGCTGTCACCTCCAGGGCCACCACCAGCACCAGTGTTGGCACTGACCCAGCTGGTACCACCCACAGCACCAGCTCCCCTCTGGTGCCTGTGAACACCCCAGCACCCGGGGGGACCACCCACCCTGCTCCTGCCACCCACAGCACTGTCATCCCTGGCACCCACAGTGCTGCCAGCACCCCTGTCCCAAATCCCACCTCTGCTCCCACTGCCACCCCTGTCCCTAATCCCACCTCTGCTCCCACTGCCACCCACAGCACTGTCATCCCCAGCACCCACAGCACTGCCACCCCTGTCCCTAATCCCACCTCTGCAGCCACTGCCACCCACACCACCATCACCCTGAGCACCCCCAGTGCTCCCAGCACTCCTGTCCCTAATCCCACCTCTTTTCCCACTGCCATCCACAGCACTGCCCCTCCTGTCCCTCACTCCCCCTCTGCACCCACTGCCACCCACAGCACTGCCCGCCCTGTCCCTCTCTCCACCTCTGCTCCCACTGCCCCAGGCACAAGTCCCCCTCCCCACAAGCCCACCCCAATTCCCAGCTCCACCATCTCCACCCAAAAGAGCATCATCTCCTCCACGCCCGAGACCACCACAGTGCCCTGCCCGACCAGTGCCCCCCCGGGATTCCCCAGCCCTTCCTCCACCACCACCAGGAGTGAGGCCACCAAACCAACCCCTGGAGCTGTACCAGAGTCACCACGACCAACATCCAATGGACACATCAACCTGCAGCCCAAGCCTGGTAAGGTGGGAATGTTCCAAGGCGGGAGAAGCTTAGGAATGCTGGCAAGGCTGAGGTCTTCAGCAGTGAGCAGATGATCCACCTCGTTCCTGCTGGATTCAGTCCTGGCTTCACGGGCAGTGACGTGTCTGTGCAGCCCCTGGAGCTGCCTCAGGTCCTGCAAGCTCTCAGGTCTGCCCAGGAGCACCCTGAGGTGTCTCCAAGCCCCCCCAGCCCCCAGCATTGCAGAAAGCTGGAATAATCCTGGAGGAATCCTGGAGAAATCCTGGAGGAATCCTGCTCCTGCTAATCCCTGGGCTGCTCTCTGCCCGGGTTTGACCTTCCCTGTTTTAGCTGCATGTGGTGCTCCTGAGTGCAAGCACTGAAGTCTGAGCTCCTTTGCTCTGGCAGAGCTGCCCCTGTAGCTTTAGTGACCCTGGGGATTCACTCCTGCCTTGTGCTGGTGAGTCAGGATGGCTCAGCCTGGGGACAGTCACACCTGGGGCAGGCCAGTGCCCAAGGAGCAGCTACAGGCAATGGCACAGGGGGCTGAGAAGTGCTGTCCTGACACATGGGTTCCGCTGGGATACCTGAATTCCACTGCCCTCTCAGCTCACACCTGCCCTGCACCTGGATAATCCCATTATTTGTGTTCTCCCCTCAGATTCAGGACCCAGACTGTCCTCTTGCCTCATCCATGTGCTGGCTGTCACCATGGGGACCTTGCTGCTGCAGGGACTGCTCTGAGCCCCCCCTCAGCACCACACCCACCCCATCCCTCCTTCATCTCCACCACCCTGCAACACAATGGTGCTGGGAAATTCCCTGCTGGAAAAGCAGAAACCTGGGAAAGGAAGAGAACTCCTCCATTTGGTACCAGCACAGAACAGGATTATTATTTTTGAGGCTGGGCAGTAAAAGGAGAACTGGTATTTTTCAGCCCAAAGAAGCCCCAAGGGTATTTACTAGCAATTTACTCCATGTAGTACCAGCAGTGCTGAGTGCTCTGACAGGGCAATAACACCAGGCCCACCTCTACCAGGGGCTTTCCTTCTAAGGAATCCCACTGGGATCTGTGAAACAGTGGGACAACTCAGGGATTTGAGTCACTGGCCACTGTAAAAGAAGCAGAACACGGCCCAGCAACGCAGCTGAGAGATCCCCAAAGTTGCATTTACTCATTTCATGAACTGCTTTTTGATCCAGATCTGTTCAAACTCCACAGAGACTCTGATGGGATGATTCACTGAAGATAATTTATCTTGATTACTGGTGCAATGCTATACAATAAACCATCAATCAACTAGTGTTTTCCTAGTCTTTGAGGTGTTTAGTGCTTAGTATTGTACTTTTTCTAGCTTAGATCTAAAGTCTGCACTGAAGGGCAGACCAGGCTCTCCTGCTCTCATTCTGTAAAGCAATGACAGCAAAGATTATTTTATATATCTATATATCTATATCTATATCCCTCTTTCTCCTCCAGGCTCTCCTCCCTGGGGGAAAGAGGATTGTCAGGGGCTGGATACAGGTTGTACTGAGGCATTTTTTGGACAGAAATTCCCAATAAGTGGGGGAACAAATTGTTTAAAACCTATAAAATTTTTTCCCCTCCCCCTGAGGAAGCTGCGAACACCCTCAGCTCTTAAGTATTGAATAATCAACACCAAGGAAAAGTAACAGGCAGGTCTGGGGGCTCTGCCCACTCAATCTGGGCAGCCTGAAGGAAGAGCAGACAACAGCAACTTTGCTTTAGCATTTTTTTACTTAATTCCATGATTTATTTACAATCAGCCAGAAAACTTCCCTTCCACACTGAGGTCTTGGCAGTGTCACGAGATCAGGCTCTGGGAAATGTCATTTTTAACCTTAAACCCCCCAGTAAAACATGCAGGTGGTTTGGGTTGCAGTGTTATGGTTGGGGCTGACCTGGACTTGGGCTCTACCAAAGGCAAAGGTTCTGCTCTGAAGAGTCTGGAATCTTCTCTTCAGACACAACTGGGTTTTTCAGAGTGATTTGAAAGGCAAAAGTACCTAAAAGTGACTCCTGGGCTGATCCCAGTTGCCTGGTGCTCTGGGCACCCCTCAGCCCCAGGCTGAAGGTGCCCACAGGCCTCAGAGCAGGTCGCAGGATGGAACCCCTGGTCTTGCTTCCTCTGGAGAGAAGATGGTCAGGACAAGATGGACATCATGAGGAAAGTGAGGAGCAGGGCAGGCAGGAGGTGCAGTGCCATGGCCACGGAACCCAGAGGGGCTGAGGATGGTGCTGGAGGACAAAGAGGGGCGTTAGTGCAAAGGAACCAGCGACTGAGCTGCTCCTCCATGGGGAAAACATCTCCTCAAGCCCCATCCAGGGATTGCCTTGGCTTTTCCCACAGCCCCACCACATCAAGTTTGGGGGTTTGGAATTAGAAGGTCCCTTCCTACCCAAACCATTCTGTGATTCCACAATTCTAAGCCAAAATCCAACACACCACAGAGGAGGAGGCCCTGGGAGCGCTCACTCGGCTGGGATGTTCAGCCAGGGAGGATGCTCCCAGTGGGATTACAGGGATTCAGGTTCCTCAGCAGAGCTGAACTTGCTGCCCCAGTTTTTCTCCTTGTTGTAACCCCAAAACAAGTATTTAAACCCCAACCCGGCCTTCGGAGGTCCTGAAAACACTCACCTGGGAATTTGGGAGTGACGAGGTTGATGTAGCCTTCCTGTGTTCCCCCCGTGAGCCCAATGTGCAGCTGGTCCAGCTGGGATTGTTGTTGCACCTGGATCCACTCCCGGACAGGAGACCTGTACTGCCACTTGGCCAGGTCTGGGAGGTTGATCCCCAGCAAGCCCTGAACCTCACGGGGCGTCAGGCTCTAGGAGGAATCCCAGAGCAGGAGTTAGGGGTGGAAATGCAGGGATGGAAATTACACATCTGGCCAAGAAAATGACACCTCTGGCCAAGGAAATGGTGAGGTTCCTGTTGGCAGAAGTGGGAAGAGCAAGGAAGGCAAATTCCTGCCATGGTTCCCCTCGGGACAATCTTCCCTCAGGGTCGGGGAATGAACACGATGGTTCCTCAAAGGCTGTTTCTGTTGTCCTCTGATGACAAGTCTCCTAAACTCAACTGAGGGCCCCAGTCCCTGCCCAAATCACTGGGATTTCTCCCCAAATTGATGGCATTACTGCCAAGAGTCTGGTTAGAAGATCTACCACACAGCTGTGACCGTGGTCTAGTGGACACTGTCCCCTGCTCCTGTCACCAGTGCTATGAACCTGCTCTGGAGAAACTCAGCTGGCTCAGCTGCCATCTAGGACTCCAAATGAGACTTTTGAAGAAGTTTCAGGCCAGTTCTCCACTTTCTACTGGTCCAGCACCATTCTGAATTTGATGGAATGACTCCTGATTTCCATCTGTGGACAAGGTGACCAAACCCAAGGAACAAACACCAAGAATCCAACAATTCCAAGGTCCGACTCCAACTCACCATCAAAGCATCTCTTCTTAAACTCACAAAAGTGCTCATGTTCATGTTCACGTTGGCCTGGCTCAGAGCCTTGAGATCTTCACCAGGAGCCCCCTCTGGGACCAAAGAGAAGAAGAATATCAGAGCATGGAAGCCCCCAAGTGAGCTGTGCTTGTATCTGCACAAGCTGGAGCTACAAGGATGGCTCCAAAATTTATTAGGAATGGGGCTCCTACCAGAGTCCCAGCTGCAAAATATGTGGATGCTACTTCTTTTTTGTTGGGACTTACTGATGTGTTGGGAATTAAACCAATCTGTGGCAATGCCAGACAACAGACAGAGGGGTGGGAAGAGTTTGCTCAGGTTGGGAATAAATTCTTAGCTTAAGAGGGAAAAAGAAAGTCTGGTTTGTGCCATGGAGAAGGGCTGGGAGAGAGTCTGATTTTCCCTGTGATAGTCTGACAATTTATTTGGGCAACTTTAAGTCAGGTACAGAATCTTTCAACAGTATTTTATGCCACCTACAGGTTGGAAAGGCAAACTTTGAACAATTTGGCTTTGAAAATTCCCAAAACTGCGATGGATTTTGATACCCATTCAGCTCGTGGCTGAGACCCCTCTTCCCCCATAACATACTGGTTTTTACATACCCAGATAAGGTAAAATCAGCTCATAGTAAGCAGGAAAGACGTGCTGGGGATAGAAAGCTTCTTTGGCTTTCTCATACAAGAGGTCTTTGGTCTGTTGTGAACAGGCTGAAGGATTCAGAGACACCAGTCTGCAGAAAAACAAAGATTTAAGGTGAAAAAAGCTTTTAATATCCTCAACCTGTATAAATTTTCACCTCTCCTGAGTGTATCTCTGGGATTCTCTACACAGCACAGGTGATCCCCTCTTCCCAGTAGACAGAAGATGTGTGGAGAGAAGCTGAGAGGGGGAAATAATGGCTCAGTTTCCTGCTCAGAAGGATTTGTCTTCAAAGTAAGGAAGGTTCTGATGGTGAACAGTAAGTTTCTATTTGCAAAGCTGTAATTAATTAATTTCATTTACCAGTCTTTCAAAGGAATTTAAACTGGAAATTGCCAAGAAAGTGCCAGAGGTGTGGTACTAGAGGACATGATTTAGTGGTGAACACGGTGGTGCTGGTTGATGGTTGGACTTGATGATCTCGGTGGTCTTTTCCAAACTTAACCGTTCAGTGATTCTATGAAATTAAACTTAATTAATTATCTTTTGAGTTGCCATAAAGAGAGTTTGACTGCAAATCTAAGCCCTTCCTGGCAGGACAGAGACCAGCAGGTTTTAAACCTGGACAGAGAGCAGGTACTGAGTTCCTTTCTAAATTTCCTTTCACTGAGGAAAAAAAAAAAAAAGAAGGAAATTGCACTTGCTGATGGGAAAGTGCTTTTCCAAGAAGCCAAGAACATCCCAATTTGTGACTCACTTGAGGCTGCTGGGCTCTATGGCCTGCACCTCCGTGGTGTTCAGCAGACACACGTATCTGGTCCCGATGGCATCCAGGGCAGTGGCATTCAGGGCATTGCCCAGATCAACATAGCTTTTGATCACTGCTGAGGCCTGCAAACACGTTTAATTTGATTAATGGGATCGAATCAGGATTCATGTTTTCACCCCCCAAAGGAGAACATGCAATAATTGCAAAAATAAACCGGGATCGTTTCAAATCTGCCTGTTTGGCCCTCAAGGATGGGCCACCCAACCCCAGGGGACCAAGGGTGGTTCAACCATCTTCAAGCCCTAATCCGAAACCAGCAGCTCCCAAACCAGGAAGGAAACATAAGTAGGAAAGCAAAGCCGAGTTCCTACCAGGAGATCTGGGGGCTGATTTTTCAGGAAGGCAGCCAGGGCATCAGCTGAGCTCATCTTCCATGTGGAAATCTCCTTGGGGGTGATGAGAGGGATGAGGGGACCCAGCTTGGAGAGGAGGCTTTCAGGATAACCATCAGGATACCTCTGTGGAAACACCACTGTTATTGCTACAAAGTGGGGCTGGATTTTTAGTCTGAAGAAGAGAAGATTAGATGAGGATTTTATTGCTGTCATCAACTATTTAATAGGAGATGGTAGGGAGGGTGGAGCCACGTTCCTCTCAGAGGTGCACAGTGAAGGCCAAGGCCCAACAGGCAAAGAAAACTCTGGTTAGATATTAAGAAATAGATATTTTCACAGTGAAGTGGTCAAACACTGGGAGAGGAGCCCCAAGAGATGATGGATCCCCAGTCCTTGGAGGTACTAAGTTTAACTGGACAAGTCCCTGAGCTATCTCATCTGTAAGTGACATTTGCCATTCTTTGGGCTGGCATTACCTCATCCAGGTAGTCCTTCAGCACTTGCAGTTGCTCCACACTGAAGGGGTAGCTGAGGACCTGGGAGAGCTGGTTCTCCAGGAAGACCTGGTTCTCCAGGGACATGTTCCTGAGGCAGATCCGGAGCTTCTCCGCAGGGATGTAGTAGGTGGGCATCAGGTCAGTGCTCAGCATCTCCTCTGTTATCTCCATGTCACAACCTGCTGGAGCAAGCAGGTCTGGCTTGAATCCTTTGGCTTCAAGCTTTGAATCCAAGAATCATTAAGGTTGGAAAAGCCCTCCCAGCCCATGGAGTCCACCCTGTGCCCCATCCCCACCTTGTCCCCCAGCCCAGAGCACTGAGTGCCACGGCCAGGCCTTCCTGGGACACCTCCAGGGGTGGGGACTCCACCACCATTGGAAGGCAGCCCCTTCCAATGCCTGATAGCCCTTTCCATGGAGAAATTCTTCATGGAGATGCCCCCTTGCTGGAGATGGACGGGTGTGCAACCAGGGTCCCACCCTCCTCACGGGTGACCTGCCCCCAAGTGCTCCATAGCTGAACTCAGGTATATTTAGGGACACCCACAGTGCTAGGACAACCCTGATCCCGGTGGGAATGCTGCCCTTCTGGACCCAGGGAGCTCCCATACCATCGGCCCTCCTGTGCCGGGTGGGCAGGAGCTCCCCCACGACGGTGGCCAACTCCTCCCTGGACAGGGGGGAATCCCAGGCAAAGTTCTTCAGCCAAAGGGTCAGAGAATTCTGCAAGGAAAACATTCAATCAGGGGGATGGTGCAGCCCTGGGGGCTCCTCCAGCACAACACCCTCCCTGCCCCTCACACCCTGAAAGGTCCCTGTCGAGGTGCTGTGGGCAGCACACTTGCAAATCCCTCCTTGGTGAGCAAAAAAGTCAAATTTTTAAAGCTTGCACTCCACATATCCCACCCCCCACTAGTGATTTTACCTCCTTACAAGGTACTGGGTGTATTTTACTGCTCTTTTCCCTCTCTGGTGCTCTCCCTGCAGTGACAAGAAGGGGTTGACAGAGAGCTGGATCTGCAGTTCCAGGCTGTCAACTCCATCAGCCCTCATTTCCCACAGACCATCATCCCCTTTGGCACCAGACCTCTTTTAAAAGAGGAAACTACTGAAAAGCACACGGCTGAACAACCCCCAGCATATTTCTCCCACACTCCAAGAGCCAGGAGTGCTTCCCAAACTCCCCACCCCTGTCTGAAAACCCACCTTGGGGATCTCCTGCAGGATGTTGTGATCAAAAACAGGGATGAGCCCTGAGAGGTCCCTCAGGGTGAAGGCTGACCAGGCTGCAGGAGGCCTGCAGACAAAACCAAGCTGGGATCAGCTTTCAAGGAAGAGCAGAACAAAAACAAAAAAAACACCTTAAAAGCTGCCAGGATTAAGTCCCTGTAACACCTGACGTCAAGAAAGCACAAGATTTAAATCCTAAAACACCTTGATCCCTTCCTGTTACACCAAACTTCCTTCCAGCAGAGCAGGACAGGTGACAGTGACATGAATCAGGGCAAATGGCATTTAACTGATACCTTCTTTTCACAGGCATGAGACCCAAAGAATTTCTATTGCTCATATCACCCAACTCAGTGCCAAGATCTCAGGGCACCTGACAAGAGGGAGGGAAATATTTGCCTCCCTCTGTTGGAATCAGCCAGGGATTTATCAAGCATGTAGAAACAGAATGTTTCCTGAGAGTCTGGGGCTGACAAACAGCTTGAACTCACCTGTGTTCACCAGGACAGTCAGAGAAGTTTGGTTAATAAAAAATAGACCAGAGGAAAAGCTTTTATAGCCAGAGTAAGAGAGACACTGAAGTGTCAATTTATTTTTCAGTAGAATTTCACCCAAGCCTTTCAGCTGAAAGAAGTTCAAATAAATTAAAGTAAAAGGCTCAAAAGCAATAAATTATTTGGGTTTTGGATCAGGCTGGTTGGCTGGAGCTCACTCAGGTCTTAACAGAAAATTGGGTTTGATTAAGGGAACTGTTTATTGACATCCGGAAGAACATTTCATACCCAAATGTGCTGTTCCCACTGCTGATGACATCCCTAATGGCCTCTTCTTGGTCAGGCAGGAAAGATTCACACTGGCTTAGGTCCTTCAGCAAAATCCCCCCCGAATTCCTGATGTATTCCCCCCCCAGGTCACAGACCAGGCGGCCCAGGATCTCGGCATCTTCCTCGTTTATTTGTGTGCCAGGGATTTTCTGGAATAACACAAGACAGAGGCATGTCCAGGCCTGGCTGGCACAGGGGAGGGGCATTCCTGGACCCCAACCCTCCTGCAGACCTGTCCCTGCCCACGTACCAGACATGCCAGAGCCTCCAGGAGAAGTTGTTTCCTCTGAGGGGACTCTCTTGGCAGAACATCAAGATTTGCTTCCCCGACATTATTGAAGTATTGGCTGCAGCTTCCAGTGGCTGCATAGTCTGAAGGACTGGAAAGACAAACACTCCATGAATTCTAGGGAATGATATGGAGCAGTTGGTCAGGTTTGAGAGTGCTCAACCAAACATCTTCCATATCTGCAGACTAAACTCCCTGCAGTTGTTCTCTGAAAAATCTTAGTCCGTGCTCTTTACAAATTATGTTCACCTTAAAGAATCTATTTTGGGACACAGCCTAAAACTGTTCCAGATCTGGACACAGAAGCACAGTGGGAAGATACTGAGACAAGAAAATCCACTCCAGTGCCTGTTTTCTTTGCTGTTGGGAGGGAGAAGCACATTCAGGGAGGCCCGACAGTGCTAAGATTTGATACTGGTTTCATATCCAGATATATCCATGTGGTTTCACAGCCCAAAATTGCTTCAAGGTGTTTATATTAATGTACTGGATGGTTGAATCTGACAGACCTTAAAACCCCTTTGAAAGCTTTCATAGAATCCTGGAATGGTTTGGGTTGGAAGGGACCTTAATTACCATCCAGTCCCACCCCCTCCCATGGGCAGGGACATCTTCCACTAGCCCAGGTTGCTCCAAGCCCTGTCCAACCTGCCCTTGGACACTTCCAGGGATCCAGGGGCAGCCACAGCTTCTCTGCCCAACCTGTGCCAGGGCCTCCCCACCCTCACAGGAGGGAATTTCTTCCCAATATCCCATCTAACCCTGCCCTCCTTCAGCTTTCTGCAATCCGATTTTTGATTCCCCATAAGGAGGCCTGAAAAGTCTGAAATATAAATCAAACTAATCAAACCATCCTGGTTATAAACCAATCTCTCTATTTCCTACTAAGGCAACCACATGAAAACTGTATCACAGTTACCTTAAAAACAGCAACAGGTCTTTAGGATAACTGTCCAAATCCTCAGGAATCCCATGCAGTGTCACCATCCTCAGTAAGCAACTCAGCTGGGAGGACACCAGAGATGGCATCAGAGAAAGAACCAGCATGGAACATAAGAAAAAATAAAACAAAAGCAAGATTTTATCCTGTTCCAAAGAAAGAAAATAGGGAAGAACCTTTTCCTGACATCCAACCTAAACTTCCCCTGACACATCCCTGTTCCAGTCCCTTAAGCTCAGAGTGTTGAACAATCCTCATTGTACCTTCAGGACAACATCAAACATGGCACTTGGAAATAAGGGAACTACCTGGTCTTCTCCCAGCCTGACATTCTTGCTCCTCATGACTTTGGCCAGCTCCTGAAATCTTCCTGCTTCCACATCTTTGGCAGCTGCACAGGTGAAACCTTGGAGCACAGACTGGGAAAGCCTGGACAGTGACAGGAGGGAAATCAGAAGGGCAAGGAATTCAGGGGAGGTGAGTTCAGAGCAGGACACTGATGCTGACTGCATTGCTTTTCCAGCTAGAAATAACTTTTCATAATCTTTCATCTCAGATATGACAAAAGCCACATCAGCCCAGCTAATGAATCCCTGGAATTGCACTGTGGAAGGCTGGCACATTCCCTGATTAGAAATGCCTTCCACAGGGGCCATCTGGAGCAAGATTCCAGGTGCAGCCTGGGCCAGAAGCATAATTTTAGAAAGAAATTGTGGCTCATGGTTACATTTTGCAGCTGAGACCCCGGGAAATCCCAATGCTCCATGTCTGTGTTTGGGTTTGCATTATATCCCCATCTGTTCCTATGGATTCAATCCGGTGGATGTGCCACAAGCCCCCATGGAAACAGGGAAATTGCCATCAAAACAAACATGGAAAAGGGAAGAAGAGAAGGAAATTGGTACCTGCTGAAGTCTGGTTCTGCCTTTACCACATCACTGAAAAACATGGCAGCCTGGGGAGCAAAGCCAGAGGGTCAAAGGTTTTCCAGCAGAAACCCCTCTATTTTTGGGCAGATTTGCAGAGCAGACTCAAGGCTCTGCAAGTCCAGGGAGGGGTGAGGGGACACAGCCCCCCAGTACCTGCTCTGGGGTCCACGGCTTACTGTTGAGATCCTGCACACTGGGCTTCTCTTCCCCAAAAACAAGCAAGGATTTGGGGATGTAACTGGCCAGAGCATCAGGGATGTATTTCACCAGGTCGGCAGGGTGGGCAACACTGGAGGAAATCTTTAAAAATGACCCAACAAAACATATCAATCAAACACTGTGGCTGAAAGAGAACTGGGAAAGCCAGACCAGTTCCCCTGCTGAGCATCTGGGCAGTTCACAGAGGCCTAACACTGAAATATTCCCTGTTGGACACATTCTGTCAAACTAGAAGAGCTGCTTGGAGGTAATTCCTGGGGTCCTGATGAATGGGAATGATTCTATGATTCTGCCTCCTATCAGCTTCCCACCTCCTGGCTTTGTGCCCTAAAAATATTGAACAGGCCATGAAGGAGGGACATCTCTTCCCTCTCTGCTGACACAGTGTCCCAGGATGCTGAAGGAACGTTGCAGATCCTGTGGTGAATGAGACATTATAGCCCTTATAATATCTAATATTTCCCTAATAACATTCCTTCCAATAATGGAGCTGCTCCAGAACAGGGAACCAGAGACAGAGCCTCTGGTCCCAAACACAAATCAGAGTCTTTCCTACCAGGAGGAGGATGGAAAACAAACTTTAAAACTACATGTACAACTGGAAGGCTCAAAATACAGCAAGAAAACAGGCAAAGAGGTGTCCAAATCCTACACAGTCACATGAAGGAATGAAATAGTGAATTGCTGAGGGATCAGTCAACCCTAAAAAGGGACTTTTGAAGTCACCTTCACTTCTCACACAGTCTTACTCCAAATGATGCCAGTATTAGAATCATAGAATCATTTAGGTTGGAAAAGACCTCTGAGATCAAGTACAGTCTTTAATGAATTCTGCTCCCTTTACATTCTTTCCCTGAGAGCACATTTCAAGTCACTGGGGAGGAGTTGCTGGGACCACTCCATAAAACAAATCTCTTGTGCCCTCGTCCCCAAGAGGCTCAGCAGGACACCCTGGCTGGTGGCCCAGGACATCTCCACAGGCAGAGTGACAGGGATTTGATCCTGTTTGGCAGTGTCATCCCCATGGAATGCTGCCTGGGGGGCAGGGCTGTGTCCCACCTGGCCCCAGGTAAGCAGTGCTCCCAGCTGGGACTCCCTGGAGCTTTGCTCATTTGTGACACCTGAAGAGGAAAAGCCACGTCACCTTTTCCACAAAGGTCCTTTTCAGAGCAGGGGGAAGTGGCTCCATTTGCTGGGCAAACTCAGGCACCTTGATGGCCTCCAGGAGCACCTCTGGGGACAAACTCCAGACCGTGCTGCTGTTGAGGCCTCCCACCAAACTGCCCAGCTGTGCCAGGCTCTGCCCATCCCGGATCTGCAAGGGAATGCACAAGGACATGAGGGCCAGACATCACCTGCTGGCAGCACCAGGTGTGAGCTGCACCTCACAGAATCCCCAGATCACTGAGGTTGGAAAAGCCCTCCAGGATCACAGAGCCCACCCTGTGCCCCATCCCCACCTTGTCCCCCAGCCCAGAGCACTGAGTGCCACAGCCAGTCCTTCCCTGGACACCTCCAGGGATGGGGACTCCACCACCTCCCTGGGCAGCCCTTCCAATGCTTGACCACCCTTTCCATGGAGAAATCCCTCCTGAGTTCATGGCCCTGATCCTGGTACCTGATAGCCAGAGCGGAGCAGTTTGTCCACAATAGCACTGGACTGCTCAGCACTCCAGCCACGAACTTCCCCCAGGGCAGGAAGAGCTGCTTCAAGGTCCTGCTCACTGGTGCTGTTCTGGATGCTGGACACAGACAGTCCCACTGCAGCCTGGCCCAGGGCATGCAGGATTTCAGGAGAGAAACCCTCAACCTTCCTCAGCAGGGAGGATGTGACCTGCAGAGGTCAAACAGAGACAGAAAGGAGAGTCAGGGGAGCAGTGAGGGCAACCTCCAGCCTTTGGATGCCTTAAATCACTGCACTTCTGCCTCTAATTTTTATGCTGAAGGCTGTTGATGGACCATCTCCACCCGCCGAAATTGTGAGATGATGAAACCCCAGCCAGACACCAGGACAAAAAAAGCAAAATGCCCTGGAGGAGGTGGCAGAGGAGGCACAGGAGCTGACCCTCAGCCCTGCCGGGTTTGTGCAGGTGAATGAAGCCCCGGGGCCGGGCAGGGGATGGGTTACCTGCAGTTCCTGCGCCGGCAGGGAGGAGGGAGCTCTCTCTCCAGGAATTCCTCTGCGTGCCGGGATCCAGGGGCAGCTCTTCCCGATCCTCTGGGCCAAGCTCAGCGCGTCGTCCCTGCTCAGGTTGGTCACTGCTGAGGGGCTCAGGGAGCAAAGAAACCTGTCTGGGAGGCTGCAGGGGGGACACAAGGAGGAGAGGCTGCAATTCCCAGAGACAGGGGCTCTGGCATCCTTTTTCCAGAGGATGCTCCTTCCTGGGGCACCTTTCCCCTGCCTCATTTTAACTGAGGATGCTCCTGACAAACCTGCAAGGACACTGCATGGAGATCATTTCCCAAGGTTTAGAACTCGGGATCTGGCCCTCCCCAAGAGCAAGGGCAATGGAATTATCGGAGGAAGAGAAAAATGCTTTAAAGGTTTAATGAAAGCAGCCATCAGAACCACCACCCAAAATCTTGCTAAATCACAGCACCACAACTGGGTGCTACTGGGTCTGATTTCCCATGATGTAGGAGATCAGATCCTGTCAGATCCTGTACCTTGACACTGGAAAAGCAGGAGCAGAGGTCAGCAGGAAAGTGTAGTACAGAGCTGTCTCCCGGAGCAAGGTGAGGTTGCTGATCATCTCCATATTGACTGGATCCCTGGCAAATTTTTGAAGCTGAGGGTGAAAAAGAAAAGAAAAAAAAGGAAAATCATTTAGATGGATACTTTAATCCTGACAGTTTGAACCAACCTCACTTCAAGCAATATGTGTTTTTTTCACGATTTTAGTGTTGTGAGGAAGTTTAATTTTTGTTTTCAAGTAATACACTGGGATCTTGATCATGTTTGGGGTTGTTCCTCTTACTGACTCCAGGTTTTTTTGTGCAGAATTACCCACATGAAACCAACTTCTGTGCAAGTGCCTCTCATCACAAGAGATCACCATGGGGGAGGAGATAACTGAAGTGACTGTTCAGCACAAATAAACAAGAGAAATATTCCTGCCAGCAGCATCTCCAGGAATTTCAAGGCCAGGTTGGACAGAGCCAGGAGCAACCTGGGCTAGTGGAAGGTGTCCCTGCCCATGGCAGGGGGTGGAATGGGAGGAGCTCTAAGGTCCTTCCAACCCAAACCATTCTGGGATTCTAATTTTGCCCAGGGCAGGATTATGACCCTCCCAGGCATGTTTTGCCCACTGGAGGTTCCTCAGCACCAGGAGGCTGCACTTACAGTTGGTTCATCACCAAAAAGCTGCAGATCCTCAGCTGTGGCATCCTCCATAAAGGATCCAAGGTAATTTTTAAACCAAGCAGTGGAATTCAGGCCTGGAATGGCTTCACTGTAGCATTTCTGGTTGGATTCTGCAGTCAGACAGGTAGAAAAACAGACACCAAATCAGGAAACGGGTGGATTTTGGAGATTCTGAGCATGGAACAAGCTTCAGTCCATCAGAGGAGTCAGCAGAGCTCCCTTAGTGCCTCTGGTCACACATTCCACTCAAATCCATGTGTTCAGACTCCAAGTGCCCGTGGGACAGGACAGGTGCCTCATTTTTTCACAGCCCTCCACACATTTCATCACCTGCCTCTTTCATCCTCCCCACAAATCTGCCAAAAGGTTTTTGCAGGACATTAAATTTGGGCATGTTAAGCTACTGCCTGGGCCAGGGGTGTCCTCCCTGGGTCCCTTCCTGAGCTGAATTCTTCAGCTCTCAGAACCAACCCTTGCCCTGTTCTGTCCCAGTAAAAGCAGGAAATGCCTTTCACGAGGGACACAAGTCAGACTGTGATGATTTATAAAAGTCCTGGATTAATAAAGCCTTCAGGCAGGGAAATGATTCCTGAAAGCACTTATCACTGTCACAGTTCCAGCCTGTTTCTCTTGGATTTTCACAAAAAGCCCTGGGAAGCCTCAGCCCTGTAACAGAGCTCAGCCCAAGGCAGAGCTCACACTGGGGGCTTAAAGTATCTGTGGTTTCTTAGAGAAAATCAAGTCATTTACCATTCTGGGTGAGATAATATTTGATCCCACTGTAAAGATTCCTCTGCTCTTCCTCTGGAAGCTCAGGGTATAGTCCATCCAGGGCAGCCACTCTACAGATGGACAAGGAAGGCAGACATCTCACAGGAAGGCTGTTACTGAGAACTGATTTTATCAATCAAAAAGCTTATTCAAAGCTCCCAATGTGGTTTCCCCTCCCAAGAGCCCCGGTGCTGTGACACTGCCCTGGTCACACGGGGCCATCAGGGACATGAGCACTTACAGCAGCTGAAAGGTCTCACAGGACACATTTTTGCCATGGAGGCAACCAAAGACCTTGGGCTCCTCCAGGAAGGGCTGAAGTCCCCCATGGACCCACTGAGACAGAACAGGAGGGCTCTCAATGTCTGGCACTTGCAGCATCTTCTCCCACAGCCCGTTGATGAAGATCAGGCTCCACTCCAGAGACAGAGGCACGTGGGAAAACTGAGAGCAAGAGGTGAGAAGAAACAGAGGAATTCCAGTGAATAATCAAACATCAGCATAAATCCATGTGAATCTGAATGTTATGAACAGATTCTGTTGGTTGAAATGACGTTCTTTTTAAGATAAGGTAAAAACTAAGGTAATTTTAACCAAATCCTTCCAGTGGTGAGCAAAGAGTTGGCTCTGTGGTACCCACCCGCTGGCTGAACGTGGTCAGGGAGGCCAAAAGCTTCTCAGCACCATATTTGGAAAAGAACAGAACAGAGTATTCTGGATCCACAGCAGTGGCAGGTTTGGAAGCAAGGCAAGAATATAAGGATATGAGGAAATCATCCTGGAGGTCCTGGAGCCAAGTTCTCTGAAAGAGAAAAGGGAAATGCAAATAAATGTGATAAAAGGTGGGTCATGTTTAGAGGTGCTGCTGTCTGGAATGGCCTTCAGGTGGCTCATGTGTGCATTTGGGAAGAAATTCTTCCCTGTGAGGGTGGGGAGGCCCTGGCACAGGTTGGGCAGAGAAGCTGTGGTTGCCCCATCCCTGCAAGTGTCCAAGGCCAGGTTGGACGGGGCTTGGAGCAACCTGGGATAGTGGAAGGTGTCCCTGCCCATGGCAGGGGGGGGCACTGGATGGGCTTTAAGGTCCTTTCCAACCCAAACCCATTCCAGAACTCCACAACTCAGCACTGTGAGATGATCAAACCTGTGGACAGAGGAGTCAGAAGAAAGTCCAACCCACACTGACTTGGAGAAAGTCTAAGCTCACCCAGTTCCAAATGCAGGATCCTTCTGGTACCTACTCTGTGCTTCCCCCAGGCAGCTTTATTCAAATGGTTTCCCATAAAATAAAATAAAAAAAAGCCCAAATATTGCCATTTGATCGAAGTGTAAACATCCATAAGGAACTTTCTCATTCCCAAACATTCTTCAATAAAAAAAAGCCAAACAAACAGAGGGAAAAGAACAAACCTAAACTCCCACCAAAATATTTGGAGAAATGTCATCTCTTTATTAGAAATATTTACAGACAAATACAAATCATTGTCAATTCAATTGCAATTTCTGGCAGCACAGCAACTGAGAGATGATGACAAAAGCAGGAAAGAAAGTAAACCTGGAATGTTCCAGATGATATTTCCCACACTTTTAACTGTGCTTTTCCCACTTTCAATTCTGATTTTCCCACCCTTTGTTGAGGTTTTTAAGAGCCAGTTTCTTTTGGAAAACTTCTTTGTCCCACTTTCTCATCTGAGAGGTTTGGAAAAGAGAATCCCCACTTCCACAGCCAGCCCAGAGAGGGTTCCAGGGTGGTTGAGCCCCACGTGGGAGGTGACACAGCCACAGCTCAGTGCTCTGGGTGCTCCCTGTGTGCTTGATCCCAGCCTTTCTCTCCATCCTGGGAGGGAAACCTGGGCAAGGCTTTGGCTGCTCCACTCACAGCCAACCCTGGGACTGTTCTAAGGGGCAGAATTCCCAAGGCAAACGACCCCAGCAGCACGGGCAGCAGGGCACTGCCATTACCTGGGCACAGGCATATTGAGCAAACGAGAGGCTGCACGGGGAGCTTTGGCCACGGGCTGCTTCCAGAAACTTCTCCTGGCTGGCACTGGGGGGAAAAAAAGACATTACTGGGCCAGCTGTGCCAGGAGCTGGGGCAGGACCGAATGGGGAGATGGGCAGAATTTTCTTGGAGCTGGGGCAGAACTGGATTGGGGCAGGACTGGAGGGGAGCTGGGGCAGGGCTGGATGGGGAGATGGGTAAGGACTGGATGGGGGCAGGACTGGAGTGGAACTGGGAGCAGAACCAGCAGGGCACTGGCACCCCATCAGCCCTAGAGCTGCAAACATCATGGGGCAATCCTGCCAAGCCCAGAGAGTCAGTGAAAGGCACCTGAACCCCCTTGAGCACCAGGGTTTGCTCCCTGCCTGTCCCCCCTCAGCAAGGACAGCCATTCCCTGTCCCCCTCAGCAGGGACAACCATTCCCTGTCCCCCCTCAGCAGGGACAGCCATTCCCTGTCCCCATCCCGGAGCAGGAGCAGTGTCAGGCAGCCACACCAACCACCCCAGGCAGCAAACACAGCAGAACAAACTGACAGAGAATGAGAATGAGCTGCTGCCACCATCTGGGAGCAGGGACAGGGCACAGATGAATTGTTGACCCTCAGGTGTAAGTCAAGTTTGATCTAAGCCTGAAGCAGAGCTGTTTGAGCCTTAAGCCCCACCAGGAGCCAAGATAAGCTCAGCACCAGTGCCAAGGTTCTTGGCTCACACTCCAGGGACTTGCCCTGCCTTTCTTTGTCCTGTACAGACACAAAACCCCAGGAAGATATTTTCCCTTCACTGTTTAAACAAGTGCAAGTACAGCCCTCCCTGCCCACCCTGGGACTGTGGGGGGAGAAAGGTCCTGCCCCTGGTTTCAGAGGGATCCTGCTTCCCCAGGAAACCAGGATCACTCCCAAGGGAAATGCTGCCAAGACAGTTTGCTGGTGGGTCACATACCTTTCCACCGAGGCACACAGGGCAGACTCTGATCCCCAAAAAAGAGAGAAAAACAAAGACAAAGGAATTGTGAGAGGAATACGAACACAGAACCGTGTGGGAACGTTTCTTCTGGAGGTCACTTGGGAAGAAACTCACCATTGACAGCAGAACTGGAGCACTGCACAGGGAGAGAGGGAGAGAAGAGGGGGTGTTATCATGGAATTGTGATGTTATCATGGAATTGTAATCATTGCACAGACAAATGGGTGAGCTGCAACCATTTGGACTGGAGTGTGCCCTGAAAACACTCCAATGCCCACATCCAGAGTGTTCCCGTTTTGCCATCTACAAAATTCCCATGTTTTACTGGCTCTGTGCCTCCAACAGCTGGAAAGTCCCAGGTTTGGGGGCACTCCCACCCCTCAGGTGCGAGGCCCAATGGATGGACTGTCTGATGATTTGAGCAGGGTGGTTCCAGTGGAAGGTGTCCCTGACCATGGCAGGGGGTGGCACTGGATCAGCTTTAAGGTCCCTCCAACCCCAACCATTCTGGGACTCTGTGATATTTTAAACACACAAATCTGCCTTACCAGGTATGTCCCAGCAGAAGCTCCAGCAGTTCCTTGCCACCCTGGAAGACAATGTGCAGTGATGTTAGAGCAAATCCAGGATAAGACTCATTCCCACAGCCCAGCCCCTGTCTGAGTCAACCAACCCTGACCATCACTCAGCTCCCTGTAGTATTTTATTTCTCACTTTTGACCCAGTATTTCACATATTTTCATTCCTGCTGTCACCTCTGAGGGGTGAACAGACACAAGATCCTCCTCTACCCACCCAGGCCAGTCTGGCTGTGTCTTAGATGACATGAGGGATGTCTTGCATCTCTGTCCCCAAAGAGGAAAAGGCAGGGAAAGGGGCAAAACCAACCCTCTGGGGACAGTCCTTCTCTCCAGGACTTCCTTGCCTTGCATCCCCTGTGCACCACAGCCAGGGATCAGGCCAGGGATCCACTGGCCCTGATGCCATTCTTCCCTGCCCTGATTCCATTCTTCCCTGGCCCTGATTCCATTCTACCCTGCCAGTGGACAAAGTTGGGCTGTTTCCACCTGACAATCCCTTCCTGCTCCCCCCAGGACAGGGCCTTGGGAATATCCATCCTTTTGGCCCCCACTTGGAAAGCTTTTATGAATATGTGTAATTATGCAAATCATCCCCAAGAGAGCATCAGAAACACCCACACAGGGAGGAGGAAAAGGAGGAAGGGCAATATCACAGAGGAGCCAATATCCCAACCAATATCCCAAAAATCCTCATGTATGGCAATAAATCCTTCATCTCACAACATCCCAACCAAGGCCACGGGCTCATCTCGTGTCGTGAACCCCCTGAGACACAAATCCCCCTCTGTGGCAGCAATACCCTTCCCAACTCTGCCTTCACTCCTGGGCTTGCCAGGGCACAGGAACCCATCCCTGGAAGTGTCCAAGGCCAGGTTGGAGCAACCTGGTCTAGTGGAAGGTGTCCCTGCCCATAGCAAGGGGTAGAACTGGGTGATCTTTAAGGTCCCTTCCCACTCAAACCACTCCAGCGTTCTCTGATTCTATTAACACAGTTAATCAGATTCAGCTCTGATTATTCCTTAAGTGCATTCCCAGAGACACTTGGATACTCCAACAACAGGAGCAGGGAGCAGACAGCTCTGAAATCACAGGAGGAGAATCAATTCCAGTTGTGTCTTTCCACACTGTTTATTATCAAGCCTAAAATATTTCACTTCCCAGATCCAATAACAAACAAGAATAACTAAAAGCTGAGGGTTTGGGGCACCCACCAAAGCAACATTTAATGGTCTTTCAGCACAATTCTCCCTTTTGAGGATTATCTCTGGTATGGAAAATCCTCCTGGAACACCCTTCACTCCATGGTCATACTCACCAAGCAGAAGGAGAAATCCCAGCCCTGGGAGTAAAGGAGGCATTTCTGGAAAGGTCTTCAGAACACCCACAGGTGTGAGGAATCACCTTATTTCAGCCAAAATTTAAAAAAAAAAAAAATTAATTGCAAAACCAAACTCAGAGGAGGGAAGTTAAAAGGTGACGTCTCACATGGAAATTTAGACACACCAACACCCTCCACAAAACCCCAAATCAGACCCAAAGCACACAAAAAACTACTGAGGGTCTGCTCTGCCTGGGAAAGCCAGTGGAGAGTTTGGAGTTAGTTAATCCAGGTCATTGTTATCCATGTCCTGAGCTGGGTTCCCTATGGCAGAGGGGGAGAGGTGGCCCAGCCCCTGGACACTCACCTGGGATCTCCTGGAGTGCAGGGTATGGTCATAGCGGGCTCCTTTTCACTGAGCAAACTGGGGTGTGTCCCCGGCTCCTCAGACCTGCATCTCCCACTGCAGGATGGATTTGGAGCCCTGGACACACCTCTCAGCTCTTGAGAACACAAATGTTTCGTAGCACAAGTCACTGGGTGCTGTTTGTTAATGCCTGTCATTCCTGGGAAACAGGAGGAAGCGGAGGCGGGATGAGAGCCCTGAAGAGGTGAATTGCCCCCCCCCCTACCCTGCATGGGATGTGAGCAAAACTGAACCTGTGCTCCCAGGACAGAGCTCCTCCAGGACCACCTTCCTCCAGTTACTGAGGGAATCTTTGCAATCAGGAAATTTTGCTTTGGTGGAGCTTGAAATGGTTGAAACCTCTGGAAAATTTCTGCTTCTTCCAATTTTCCTGAAGAGAAACACGTGGATGTTGCTCTGCTGGCCAGTCAGGGCATGGAATGGGATGAAGCTGTGTCAGGGAGGTTGAGGAGGATCTCAGGAAAAGGTTCTTCCCCCAGAGGGTGGTTGGCACTGCCCAGGCTCCCCAGGGCAGTGGGCACAGCCCCAAGGCTGCCAGAGCTCCAGGAGGGTTTGGACAACACTCTCAGGGACAGGGTGGGATTGTTGGGATGTCCCAGGAGGGCCAGGAATTGGACGGATGATCCTTGTGGGTCCCTTCCAGCTCAGGATATTCTGTGACCCTGACATTTCAGACCCTAGGGCTGCTGGACTGGGGGAGCTGCCCCAGGCTGAGCCGGGTCAGTCCCTCAGACACAGAACTCCCCACTCAGGGAGAGCAACTGGGGGGGGCTGAACCCAAAATCCAACAGGGCAAGGCTGGAACAGGTAAACCCAGGGCACAACCAGCTGCCCCAATTCCTTGAGGAACCTTTCCTTGCTGAGGGGCTCAGAGGGCCCGTGGCACACACTGGGCTCGTGCCAAGGTGCCCAGAACCTGCACCCAAGTGGCCCGTGGGCTCCAGCACCTCATGAACAAACATCAAGGAGCCCCCTGAGCAGGAATGTCGTTATCCAATGGCTCCAGAATCACAGTCCACAGATCCCTGTCTCCCTATCACCGGAATCCGCCTTTCCCTCCTCAAAATTTCATTTCCTTGCTGCAAATCCCGGAATGGAACTTCAGGGTTTTTCCAGCTCCTGCAGGCTGCTCTGTTTTAAAAGCTAAGTAATGTTGGTGCTATTAAAGAGCTCACCTTTAGTTTGAAGGGGTCTTTGTATAGGAGCTGAGGAATGACTTTGCCCTGCTCCTTCATCCAAATCCCACCTGGTGATGTTCCCCAGGATCTCCCAGGCCTGTGGAGCAGCAGTCAGAGGGATCTCCTGGTTTTGAGTGATCCTGTGCTGTCCTGAAGCCCTCAGCCCATCAACACTTCAGCAAAACAGACTTGGCAAACATAATCTGCAGGAATAAAATGAGTGCTGCTGCAGACTCTAGCAAGAGATGGATATTAAATTAGATTCCCCTCACTTCAGGCTTCTTTTTACTGACCTTTGGATCTGATCCCCCAGGTTACTAAGAAACCCAGAGTAACTTTGAATCTCTCTGGGCACAGTGGGGTAATTTTACACCTCAGATTTAAAAAAATCTGTGTTTGGTCACTACTGATGGTTTGCAGGAGCAATCCTGTGCCAGGCTCAGACTTGCCCCATCATGCCCACCTACAGCTCATGTTTGTGCCAGTGTTGACTCACCATCCCCACCCACCCAAACCTGGCTCCCTCCACACTCCCAGTCCTCTCACCCCACTTCACGTGTCCATCAGCTATTTTGGAACTGGTGCAGCAGCAAGCCATGAATGCAGTCTCTGTGACTCACAGCATGTGAAAGTGCTTTCACCAACACAAACCATCTTGGGACTGGACCAATTCACAGACTCTGAGTTCAAAGCAAGAAGCCTCTTCTCCAGGATTCCCAAAGCAGGTGTCCTGGAGCTGGGGGGGATCCTTCCATCAGCCTTCAAACACCAGAGTTCTCAGTGTCCTGCACCTTTGGGATCAGCGTTGGAAGAGGGTTGTCCATGACAGAGGATCAGGTGGGAAAGTTGCTGTGGAGCTGCTGGACAAAGTGTGGGTCCATGGAAGAGTCAACCAGGAGAGCAGCAAAGGGCTCTGCCACCTGCAGCCAGATCACAGAGTCATGGAGCATTAGGGGTTGGAATGGACCTTGGAGATCATCCAGTCCCACCCCTGCCATGGGCAGGGACACCTTCCAGTAGCCCAGGTTGCTCCAAGCCCTGTCCAACCTGCCCTTGGACACTTGCAGGGATGGGGCAGCCACAGCTTCTCTGGGCAACCTGTGCCAGGGCCTCCCCACCCTCACAGGGGAGAATTCCTTCCGAATATCCAACATGAATTTCCCTTCTTTCAATTTGTATCTATTCCCCCTTGTCCTGCCAGCAGAGTTCCTGACAAAGAGTCCCTCTCCAGTTCCCCTGCAGGACCCTTCAGGTCCCGGATCTGGGGCTTCTCAGCTGCAGGAAAACGGGAACACAGAGCAGGAATGTTGGTAAAACCTGCTCTCAGTGGGAGACAACTGGAAATCTGCTCTTGTCCAGGCAGAACAGAATTGGGAGAGGTGTCCAAGGCTGCCCAGCCCACACCCTGCTCCATGGCTGTGCCCAGGCTGCCCTTAATAGATCTGTGAGGGAGATTTTGGAGCTCACTTGTAGTAAGTCACCTTCAGCTCAATATAATTACACAGGAGACCTCTCTCTGCCTCCCCTTCCTCTACAACTTCCTTGTTCCCTGAACTGAAGCCCAGCTCTGCCCCAGGATCACCAACACCCACCCCGAGGTGGGGTGGGAAGGGGGGCCACGGAACCTGCAGTGGGTGGGACAGCCCTGGGACGTGGTTTGTCCCGTGGCAAAGTGAGTCAGAGCCTTCCTACCCAGCCTGGCTGGGCATGAGCAGCCCCAAGTGTGGCTCAAGTGTCCTCCAGTCACACCACACTGCACAATTGCTGTTCCTGCTGTGCTGAGCCAGGTGTGACCAGAGGAAATAAATCCTCCTCAGTCCCATCTCCAGCAGGCAGGGCACACACCCTGCTGGCCCCAGCTGAGCTCTGCCCTGTGGCATTCACCCTGCACAAAGGGGCTTTGTGCTCTCCCAGCAAAGCCAGGTCTCCCCTCAGTGGAGCAGCCTCATGTCCTACAAGGCTCAGGCTTTTCCTGAAACCAGCCAGACCACAGCCAGTTCCTCTGGGACCTTGCAGGGCCCAGACACCTCACCAGTGCTCTCCTCTCACTGCCCCCAAACATGACCCAGAATCTGGAGAGGTTTAAAAACAGCAATAACAGAGTACAAAGTAAAGAATAAAAGCTAAAAGGGGCAGATAAAAGATTAAAACATTACAAGTGCTGCGGAAATTATACCAAGTCATACTGAAGGCTCAAAGCAAACAAAGAAAATCCAACTGTCCTGGTGGAACACAGAGGCGAAGGAGGCTCCTGGAAGCACAAACTTTCTTTCAAAAACTTGAAATTATTTTTCTCTGTCTTCATTAGTTGTTTCTTGAAGAAGGAATCTGTGAGGGCCCTGCTGGGACAACATGGCCCAGGTGTAAAAAGAGGATTTAGAGACATTCAGGGGTAAAAGGGAAACTGAATTAATTCTTTGTATCACGTCCACCCCATTAAATCCCTTCACAACATGAGAACATCCCACAATGGATCTCCCACGTAGACACATCAAAATGCCCAAAGTAAACAGCCTTGGAGAGTCCAGGAGAAGCACAACATGACCCAGCTGCACTGTCCAACTCCTTGGACCAGGGGACACAACAACAGCCTGGAGAAGGTTCTCCAAAGCAGGCTGGATGGAGAACCAGAAGGAGAAAGAGCCATGAAGGTCAAGTCCCAGCCTGGAGAAAAGCTCCTTTCTTTGGTGAGCAGGAGCAGGTTTGCTGCCCAGTCAGGTGAGCTGGGTGGGGTCCAGAGCTGACAGAAGGGATAAAGGGACACCAGTGATGCAAAACCTGTGGTTTAAGGTATAAGCAGCTCCAAGCCCACAACAATGAGCTTTTTATGATAGGTCAGCACTTGCACTCAGCTCTTGCTGTCCTGCTGCCACAGATCTCAGGTGTGATGGACTCGGCACACGAAGGAAGAGCCCCAGTAACTGAGAGTCTGTGTGAAACTTCTCCTCTTCTTATCTCTCCAAACAAGGAAACTCTGCTAAAGACTGCCCACATGAGAAGAGATTTGAGTGGCAGGGACCCACCCAGCAATGCCCTGTGGTCACAGCAGAGCAGATCCTGCTGCTCTGCACCAAACCCTCTGTCACCAACTGCAGAACCCCAGAGGAGAAAGTCAGAAGAGCTCTCCAGGTTCTCATCACCGGCTTAAGGGTGGATCAGTCCAACAACCACTTTGCCTGGGGCAACATCCTGTGCTGGCAGCCTGAAAGGCTCTGTTTGAAAGCAGAAGGTGCATTCTTGAGAAGCCTCATTCTGCGGGTAAAACCCACCACTGGGGTTGAACATCCTGCTGTGGGCAGTGCTGGGAAGAGGAGCCTCGTCAGGAATGGGGAACTGGGGTTTTTGGGCCAGTTCCAAACCCACCCATCCTTATCTTGGCATAGATCTGTGAAAATATGTGTCAGTGCCCAGGTGCCAGCAGCTCTGTGACTGTGCTGTTTGGTAAATGTGACTGCCTGGTAAATGTCACCAAGAGAGTTTGATAAACAAGGCAATATTTGGTTCAATAAGCAGCTTGTCGCACCCTGTTTGCCCAAGGGTTCAGGTACGAGCAGGGAATATGGGAAAAGAAACATTATTGGCTTCAGGTTGCTCCTGAGCCCACACCTCCAAATGCCAGAGGGGTCAGCAGAGGCTGACACTGAGGGTTTGTGTTTTACAGCTCATGCAAGACCATCTGGCCCAGGGAACAAGGGACAGAACAAGAGGGAAGAGCCTCAAGTTGCACCAGGGGAGGTTTAGGGTGGATATTAATAAAAATTTTGTCCCAGAAAATGTTGTCCAGCCCTGGCACAGCTGCCCAGGGCAGAGGTGGAGTCACAGTCCTGGAGGGATTTAAAAGCCATGTGGATGTGGCACTTGGGGACAGGGGTTAGTGGTGGCCTGGGCAGTGCTGGGGGATGGTTGGACCCTCAGAGGTCTTTTTGAACCTTAATGATTCCGTGATTCCATCCTCACCTGCTGGTGCTAACAAGGGTAGTTCTAAGTTGCAGAGGAGGAGAAAGGAAAGCCAAGGGTGTCAGAGACCTTCCTGCCACCAAACTCTCACTCACCTCAGCACTAAAACCCAGTCCTGGTTTATCCCTGTTGGAGTAACCCCAGAGCAAACCCCGCTCTGGCCACACAACATTCCCCAGCTGTTCCTGCCCCTGCTAAAGGAAGTGTTCCAGGGACAACAGAGACAGGACAGAAAGGCCAAATAGCATCAAATATCAGTTTATAGCTGGAAGTAAAATCCAACCACCACGTTGCACCTTCCTGGAAGTTTGCACAAGGGATTTTGGTTGGTTACTGCCTCTCCCTGTCCTCTGCAACCTCCTCTGTGACCTTTGCATTGCACAAAGTCAAAAAACACCGAGATGTAACACCTAAATCATGTCCTGAACTAGAAATGCAAACAAGCTAAAAAAGGAAAGGTGATTCTCTGACGTCTGATGTTCCTCCCTCACCATGGTTTGGTGACCAAGCAGCTGCTCCAGAGAGCAGGAGGGTGCCCAGCAATGCCCAGCCTGACCCCTTTGGCCACCCAGCAGGGCAGGGCTGAGGCCCCTTGGACAAGCTCCAGCCACACCAGCAGCCAGGAGGAACAATAGGACCAGTATGGAGGTCACCCACATTACTGGGAGGCCAGTTTTCATCAGGAGGAGGCTCAGAGCTGCCAAATGCTCCTGGAAAACAAGCCCCGAAAGGCTGCTCAGGAAGAACCTCATTATCACATCAGGGGGGCCCTCAACCATCAGCTCTGGCTGCACCACGGGTTTGATCCCACAGGATTAAAAATCCAGGAATGGGGCTACTGATGTGGGCTGCTGTGCCATGTCCTCATGCTGCAAATTATATAAATTTCCTAATTAATTGTTTTAATTAGCCAGTGTAATTTCCCACCGGAGCAAGGTTTTTCACGAACCCGGTTCAGCAAAATCACTGAAACTTGAAGTTTTTTGCTAAACCAGCCTTGATGTGCTTCAACGAGCAAAGCCTGGGGGAGAGAAATATTGCTGAGGACTGGGCACCAGGAATGCAGGATTTATAGCCCACAAGGACATGTGGCAGAAACCAGAGATAAAAAAGAAACTAACCCAGACAACTCAGCATTTGCACTGAAATTCTGTCTGAGGAAGAAAAGATAACAAAAACACTGAAAATGGGGGATAATTAGCACGATAAGGGAGAAAGCAATAACCAATAGAAGATAGAATAGTAATTAATGAAGAGAATTTTGTAATTTATAGCCAGTGAACATAAATTAATCAGTGAAAAGTTTGGAAAGTGGGTATTGCATGCTTGGGGGAGAGACCCCACGTGCACCTGGCACTGTGAGTAAAGTAATCCCTGCTTTCTAATGCTAAAAAAGCAGTGATGGAGAGTTTGATTTATCCTGATGTTTCCAGCAACACTTGGCTCCTCCCAAAGCACACACTCACCTTCCAGAGGGCCAAGCAGGAAAGGGGAGGTGTTGTGGGCACTCAGAAATGTTCCAGCTCCTCCTGGCTCTGTTGGGACGATCAGCAGCACCTGGGCAACTCTGCCACACGCTGAAGCTCCCAAAACACAGCGAGAGGTGACAGGATTCCTCATTCCCAAGAAGTTCTGGCTCATGGAGCTTCAGGAAAATGATCCCCTGTGAGTCAGACCCTGCTGAGGGACTCTATGTGTTCTCGAGCGCTTCTCGAGGCGAGGCTGACACCTGGTGATGGGACAGAGCCGTTCAACTCACCCTCTCCTCCAGACAGAAATATAGAAACACATGGATATATAAATATAGAGATATATGTGTGTGTACAGAGCCACCGGTAATGGGTGACAGGACATGCACAGCCCTAGGAAAGAAGGAGGGGAGAAGACAGAGCTCAGTTATGGAAGTCAGAGATCCAGCTCGTGAACTGGAAAGCCAGACTTAACCTCCAGCCTGTCTCTCTAAACCCTCCCTCTCACTCTCCCCAAACTCCCAAGGCTGCCAGCCCTAAATCCTCCCCCTGAGTGCCCACTTAGCACCTTGTGAGCACCTGCAGGAGTTGCTCCAGCTCAGCCTCCTGACCTGTTTGTAGGGTCAGGTTTGACCCTTTAACCCCTACCTGTGACTTGTTTGTAGGGTCAGAACAGGGAGGTTTGACCCTCTAACCCCTCACTGCTCCCAGGCTCTGTCTGACGGAGAACAAACATGGTCCAGGCACAGGGTGGGGCTGTTGGGATGTCCTGTGCTGGGCCAGGAGCTGGACTGGATGATCCCAATGATACCCAGGTTGTGGTTTGATCCCTGTCTGGGCTGATCCCTTTAGAGTTGGACGGATGGTCCCTGGTGGTCCCTCCCAGCTCAGCAGATCCTCCCGTTCTGGGATTATCAAGAGCACCCTGCAAACAGCACCTCCCACCCAGGTACCTCAGGGTGCTCCTACGAACAGTACAATGAGATATTTTATTAAATAAAGCCCCTGTTAATACATATTGTGTCGCAATTCTGCAAGTCCTCGAATTCCCAAGGCACTCCTGGAAACATGGGGAACCCTCTGTGAACCAGAAAACACCAAATTCTCACCCAGACAGCACCACAAGAACCCTTGGATGATCATTACACCACTTTCCCTGCTGGAAATGGCATAAATTAAATTATTTCTTTAAAAAAAATACAAAAAAAAAGAAAAAAACACAAAAAACCCCCCAAACAAAACAAAAAAACCCAAAACGCCCACGAAAACAAAACAAACAAAAAAAATCCCCCCCAAAAAAAACCCAAAACCCCCAAAAAAACCAAAAAACACCCCAAAAACAGACAAACAAAAACCAACCAAACAACAACAAAACAAAAAAACCCAAACCAAACCAACAAACAAAACAAAACAAAAAACAACAACAACAACAAAAAACCCTCCTCGCTGTGCTTTACGGCAGTGTGGCATAGTTTTGCAGCAGTGAGGTCTTGCGGTTTACGACAGTGAGGCGCGTCGTTTTGCGGCAGCCCTCTCCTTTGCTTTACGACAACGTGGCGTCGCGCTTTACGGCGGTGTGGCGGAGTTTCACGACAGTTGGCCCCGCCGCTTTGCGGCGGCGTGGCGGCCATGGCGGCGCGGTTCAGCGGCGTCCTGCAGCTCACCGACCTCGACGATTTCATCGGCCCCTCACAGGTGGGGCCGGGCTGAGCGGCCGGGGGCAGCCGAGGGGCTGCCGGGGCCGGGAGATGTCAGGCACTGCCCCGGCACCCGCGGGGAGGGCGCGAACACGGCCCTCAGGGGGTTGGGGTGGAGGGTGTGTGTGACAGTTATCTCCTGTCCTGTCACTGCCCTCCCCCCTCAGACACTGCCTGCTGCTGGGGGAGATGGGAAAAGGGGGGAAAATGGACATTCCTCGCTGTCTCTCCCAGCCCCAGCGCAGGGAACAGCGAGGGCAGTGGGAGCCGCTGGGGACAGGCAGGAATCTGGGATCAGCCAAGTGATCCCCACCCTGCTCCATCGGGTGTTCGTTTGGGCCCTTCCCAGTAAAACCTTAAGCCTGAAGAAGGTTCCTGTCACACGAGTCACCCGCACAGATGCTGTGCCAGCGGGACGAGCGAGGAGGGGCAGCTCAGCTGCTTCCAGGAGCTCCAGGCGCTGGAAAGGTGCAAAATATTGACCCTGGAATGCAAAATGTTGACCCTAGAGTGCAAAATACTCATCCCGGAGTATGCAAAATATTAACCCTGGATGTATTTGCTGACAGGTACCGCGGGAAAACCACTCTGAAATTAGATCAGTGGGATGGGGAATAACAAACCCTGCTCGCTCTCCCTGAAGTTCTTGGGTTTCCAAGGGAATCCTTCACGATTTGCCTTTCAGGGAGGGATCGCTGTAGAACCGAGGAGTTCTCTCAACCCTGCAGGAAGTGTAGGGAATGCAGGAGAGGTGGATGAGTCTGGGGGCCCCGGAGGCAGAGCAGGGTGTGCAAGGCAGAGGAGACGGGGTTGGAGCAGCAGGACGAGGAGTCGGGCGATGCCTGAACAATAAAAACGGCACAAAATGCGAAAAAAAAAAGGGACTCCACCCTGGAACAGCACAGGGAACGGGAATTGGCCCAGGGAGCCAATTTGCAATGGAATTAAACTTCCCTGGCAGCAGGACGAGTGTCCTCAGACCACTCCTCCCCAGCGCAGGAGGAGAGGATGGGCTGAGGTTGGGGAGGAGGGTCTGGCCACGGGCTGCGCTGTCAAAGCCCTAAAGCAGAGCTGAGATCCTTCAGAAGGAGCAGCAAAGGCATCCCCTGCTTCTGGAATGATGCTGGAAAGGTGTTCTTTCTGTACAAAAGGGGTAAGGAGCCTTTCCTTGGGTGTTTTCTTACAGCACTGTTTTAAGGGAGAGGAGTCGGATCCATCCAGAACTGGTGTCTGATCGTTCCACTTCTGTGAAACCAACCTCTTGGGTGCTCATCTCCTCACTGGGGGGCTTTATTGCTCTTTCAGGAATGTATCAAACCCGTCAAGGTGGAAAAACAGGCTGGAAAAGCAGCAGCAAAGATCAGGATTGAGGCAGATGGGAGCTACTTCCAGATCGATCAGGTAGGTGGGAATTTGATCGTTATTGTGTAAAACACCCCCAAAAAAGAGTGTATTTTAACTATTTGAACAGTTAATGCCTCAAAGACAACCAAGATGATAGAAAAGTGTTGCTGCTGTTGGCAGCATTCTTGTTTTTTTTTTTCCCAAAGTCTGACTTTTTAATTTCTAAGCAGTACTTTCAATTTTGTGTCAGTTTTATGCTCTGAAACGTTGGCATTAATCAGTGATGATTTTCATTTTATCAATTAGCAATTTATTAATTTGTGAGCATTTTAATTTAGAAATTAACTTATAAGCAGTGATTCCAATTTTGTGTCAGTTTTATGCTCTAAAACACTGACATTAATCAGTGATTTTCAGTGTTAGAGCAGTAAAGCTGAGAAGTTTATTTCACCATCAGTCCTTAAGGATCAGCAGTTCCAGGTTATTTGGGACAATGCCTTTTGTGCTCACTCATAATGAGATTCAATTGGATATTTTTAGTAAATCTTGCTCTGATTTTTTTTTGTCAATATTTCAAATTATTTCTCAAATATCCTGCTGAATTCATAAGTCTCCTTCCAAAATTCCCATTGAGTTTTGCAGAACAGTTTCCCTGTTTTCACAGAGAATTTTGGCATTACTTAGTTAACCAAGCTGGGAATTCATCTGGGAATGATACATTTAATTTTAGGCAGCTAGTGACCTTTTGACCTAAAGAAAGGAGGATACAGCTCTTCCAGAGGGGTCTGGTTTCTTATTTTATAGTTTTAATAGCACATAATTGCTCTGCCTGTTCCTGACTTTATCCAGGAGTGATAATTGGAGGAGTCTCTCAGGGGAAAACCAACTTATTCAGGTCAGATATCATGGAAACTGTTTCCATCCAGTGACAAGCCACACACTGCCTGGGATGAATCTTTCCATCCCTGTGCCAAACAATCCTATTAAAACCAGCAAGTTCAGGTGTCTTCCACCCCATCTGACTGAAAACAAATCTCCTTTCTCTAATGATGAACCAAGAGCAGGAAAAGAGCAACATCTTTGGTCCTGTTTGTGGTGAAGGTGGCAAAGCAGCTCCTGAGCCCTGGGTGAGCCCAGAGCTGAGTGTGCCCTCTTTCCTTGCAGGATGGGGGAGCACAGAAGCTGGAAAAGGCCAAAATCACCCTGAACGACTGCCTGGCCTGCAGTGGCTGCATCACTTCGGCAGAGAGTGTCCTCATCACCCAGCAGAGCCACGAGGAGCTCTGCAAAGTGCTGGCTGGCAACAAGGTGGGCCACAGGTTGTGGCATCTGCACAAACAGGGGGGGAAACCACACAGCAAAATGGAGTTTCAGAGCCCTGAGGGTGTTTTTAGTGTTTTTAGTCCACCCTCAGGGGTTGTTCCCATTTTTAAAAAGTTTTCAAGGGCTCTGTGTGAGTTACTGACTGAAGAGTTAATGTGTAAGGTACCTTCTGATGCTCCAGTGCTGGAATTGTGCCTGTGCCATGTTGTCTGACAGTGGTTCTGTTTGGTTTTATCCAAGGCTGCTGCTCCCAATGAACAGAAATTGGTGGTGGTCTCTGTTTCCCCTCAATCCAGAGCTTCCCTGGCTGCAAAGTGTAAAATGGGTGTTCTGGAAACAGCCAAGAAGCTGACAACGTTCCTGAAGAGTTTAGGCAAGTGTGGGATTGTTGTGTTATCCCAGAGGGGCTGTGGGGTGGCTGTGAAACAGGACTGTCTGAGAGCACAGGGTTGAGGGGATTTAACCCCCAAACTGTCCCCAACTTCAGTCACAGAATAAACTTTTTATAGGGGCAGATAGTGCCAGGACAAGGGGGAATGGATTTAAGCTGCCAGAGGGCAGGGTTAGATGGGATATTGGGAAGAAATTGTTCCCTGGGAGGGTGGGGAGGCCCTGGCACAGGTTGCCCAGAGAAGCTGTGGCTGCCCCATCCCTGCAAGTGTCCAAGGCCAGGCTGGATGGGGCTTGGAACAACCTGGGCCAGTGGAAGGTGTCCCTGCCCATGGCAGGGGGTGGATTAACTGACCTCTAAGGTCCCTTCTGACCCAAACCATTCCATGATTCTATGAAACCTGTTAAGGAACATTTACAGGAACTTTCCATTTTAGATTTACAGCTCTCCTGTCACTTTTGCTCCTCTTCTGTGCTGGCGTCTTGGGGAAAAAAGGCTCCC